GGAGGCCACAATTATGGAAAAAACGAATATAGACTTCTGAGAAAGTGGCCGGATTTGGGGTTGCTCTTTTGCTTGCATTTGGCCGACCGAGAGCAGGAAGGGGCAGCCCCCGGGCCGGGGCAGGTCGGGGAGACAGGCACCGGCGCAGGCGCGCCCGGGTGGACAGGGGAGGCTTGTTGATTGCCTGCGGCTGGGGTTCTGCCGGTCCTGCCCGGGCCGCCCCGGGCCAGGGCCCACCCCGGAGGCCCTTCTCTCGGGCCTCAGAGGGGAACCCGCCGGGTGAGCAGTATGGAGGCCGGCACCCGGCCCGGAACACCCGGCCCGCCCGGCCCCAGCACCAGCTCCAGCGCAAAGGCCGACGCCGCAAGCGCGCCAGCAAACTCCCCCTTTGCCTGGTGGCAGGTGACGCGCATGACAATGCCGACAAGTTGCCGACCGGCCCGCAGGCCAAGCAGCAGGCCCTCGCCCAGTCCCGCCTCGAAGGCATTGAACAGCGACCCGATGCAGGCCACCGACACGCCGCACGGCAGCTCCGGGCCCGGGCCCGGGAGCGAGCGTTGAATGACCGATCGCAACAGCCGTCCCAGCCACCAGCCCGCATGGTGCAGGTGCGCCCGGCAGAAGGGGTCCTTGAGGGTGGCGGCGCCGTGGGCCACTTGCAGCGCGAAGCCGGCGATGAAGCTCTTGGAGTCGGACCCGGCGGTGTAGATGTTCTGCACCATCCAGCTTTGGATGGCCGAGGTGCCGCTGGCGCGCACATCCGCCGGGATCTGCCGTTGACAGGGCGGCGGTAAGTCGCGCGCGTGGGCGTAGCGAGGGGGACAGCCGAGACCGAGAGACAGAGGCAGGGGGGGGGGGGGACGTGAGCTGACGCACCTGAAAGTGATCGGCCATCAGGCCGAGGGCCACGGCCGCGGCGGCCGGGTTGCCGAGCTCCTCCGGGCCGGCCTCGGGGGCGTACGAGTCCAGTTGCAGTGGCACATGGTCCAGGGCCAAGAAAATGTTCTGCAAGCAGAGAAGAGCGCATGCATAGCCTGGTGGCCGTGGGGCGGGCGGGCGGGCGGGCGGGCGGGCGGGCGGGTGGACGGACGGGCGAGCGAGCGAGCGAGTGAGCGAAAGAGGGGTCGGTCGGGCGGATGCCCAGGGGACGCGGGGGAAGGGGAGAGAGGGAGCAGAAGGGGAGAGAGGAAGAAGGACAACATCCAAAAAAAAAACACGGCGAGGCGCACCGCTTCCATGGTCGGCGAGAAGGTGCCCCCAGCCGCCGGCCGACACGCGTTGGAAACTGGCCGGCTTCGAGGCCAGGGGCTGGCTGCATGCTGCGTCCCGGTCGCAAGCATCGCAGTGACACCGAGCCGCATCTGCTCAGCCAGAGACGGGGGGCGGGGGCGGGGGGCGGGGGGCGGCCGGGGAGAGATCGCGAGATGACGTCAGACCAGCAGCAGGGGCGAAGGGCCGTAGGAGGGCGGCGGCCCTGTGGGGAAGGACCGGCGCCCGGCGGCGTACCGGAGATCTCGTGCGGCTCCAGGTGCCACGGCAGGGTGGTGCAATTGCTGCCGGTCCCGGCCACCAGGCACACGGACAGGGCCGCGCCGCCGACTTCCGAAATGGGATGCTGCCCGGTGATGCAGACACGCGTGTCGTTCAGGATCAGCGTGTGGGCCGGCGGGAGAAAGGCCCCCGGCTGAAGCGACAGCAGGCCCGCCAGGTCGGCATCCGGCACCTCGGTGCCCCCGTCGTTGGAGAGCAAATGCGCGCAAAGACGCTGCCGGGCACACGCAGCCCCGGACCACACCTTTTGCTGGAGGCACCGGCGCAGGGCCTCGGCGTCGGTGTCCGACTGGATGCCACTCAGGCAGGCCACCAGGGATGCGATCACCGCGCGCGGGGGGCCGCCCGCCTCGGTGCCCGCCCGCCCGGCCGGCCACAATGGGCAAGACTCGCCCAGCGGACAGGTGCACGAGTGCTCCCGCAGGCCGGGACTCTCCAGCAGGCCGCGCACGCCGGCGGCCAGGGTGTGGTGGAGTTCACGCGCGACCACCTCGACGCCGCGGATCTGCTCGGGGGCCCGGGCACAGGCGCCAAGCCCCGGGCGGGGCGAGGCGGAAAGGGAGGAGGAGGATTAGCTCCGACGGCGAGGGCGCGGTGTGTGTGTGTGTGTGTGTGTGTGTGTGTGTGTGTGTGTGTGTGGAGGATCGCCATGAGCATGCGCGCACATGGATGTTGGCCGCTGGCCCGGACAGGCAGAAGCCCTGCACCGGGTCCTGGGGGCAGTTACGCGCCAACCCCACGGTCAGGGTGGACTTGGTGGCGCCGCTGTGCGATCGGGGCGGAAGGTCAGGGAGGAGAGGGCGGAACACAAGGGGAGTCGCTGGGCTGGACAGCGGGCAAGTGGACGCGCACGCACCCGTCAACGCCGACCACGAGCGCGAGGGCCGTGGTGTGCCCGGTCATTAGTGCCAGAGAGGAGATAAAGAGGGGAGATCGAGGACCGGAGCGGGGAAGGAAGGCGAAGGGGGAAGGGGGGGGGGGGGGGGCTAAAGGGACGCCGTCGCGGCAAATGCCCGCCACAAATGGTTATTTTTATTGGCCTCTTCATTGATGGTCCTCCGGGGATTAACACAACTTAACTGGGACACCGGCACGGGATACCTTCGGCACTCAGGGATTTTGGCCATCGGGGGTGCTCCGTCAGTGGAGACGCTCGTTCGCGGTGTCCTGCCCCCGTTGGGGGGCGCCGGCGGGCGGGGGGGGCCGGGGCTGGCGGAGGGAGGAGGGGGGGAAAGGGCCCGGTCGGCGGTGATGGTGCCAGTGTAAAAGCGTGTGCATGTGTGTGTGAGTGTGTGCGCGCGCGTGCGTGCGGCCGGGCGTGCGGGCGCGCTCGTGGGTGCGGCTGCGGGCAGGGGGCGTGCGGCCGGGTGCCTGGCCTGTTCGAGTGGGCCGGCCAGGATGCGCCATCTCGGCGTTCGCGGGCCGGCCTCCGGGCTCGATGCCGGCCCGCGGCCTGCCCCCGGCCAGGGGTGTTTCCGTCGGCTGCGTCTCTCTTCGCTGGGTGTTCTTCGGGCAGCCGCCGCGCCGCGCCGCGCCATTCCCATCCGGGCGTTTCCACCCCCGCGGGGGGCCTCCCAGGAGCCGAGTTGTTGTTGCCGTTGCCGCTGCCACTGCTGCGGGGGGGGGTGTGTGGATCGCGCGGGCGCGCCCGGTCTGATCCCCGTTTTTCCGGGCCTCCGGACGTTTACGCACCAGCGATCGGTCCGCAGGGCCTGGCCTTGGCCTGAGCGCGGGCCACGACGGGGGGGGGGGGGGGGGGGGGGGGGCGGAGTGCGCCCTGCCTTGCAGGGAAGCGCGCCGGCGCCAGGCCCCAGCCCCGGGCAGATCGCGTCCCTCCGACCGTGGAGACGAGATCCCGCCGGTCCTCCCCTCCACCAGGGAGGGAGGCGTGGGCCGGCCGGCGCCCGGGCTCCGGCCGGCTGGCCCCGCCCCCGGCACCCCCATCACCGGCCGCCCCGGCTCGTGGCGTGGCTGGCGCTTTTTGGGCCCCCGGCCTGGGTGCCGCGCCTCGGGTGCCCGGCCAAGTCACCCCGCCGTTCCTCCCTCCGCCCGTTTCCGTGCTCCTTCTTGCCCTCTTGCCGCCTCGTCCCTCTTTAGCCGCCCCCCCCCCCTCCCTGCATCTCCCTTCGCCCACCCTCGCTCGATCCCGGCCCCCGCACGCCGGGCGCACAGTACCATGATGAGCGGCGGGCTTCCCGGAACCGGCAACACCCTGGGCGGGTACGCCAGCACGGCGTACCTGTCGCCGCGACAGCACTTTCGCCGGCGGCTCCATGTGGTCAAGAATGCCGTGGCCGCGGACTCGCCGAACCTCTCGCGGGCCATGCAGTACGCGGTCATCCGGTCGCTGATGCAGCTGCGCGCCATCGAGGTGAGCGTCGAGCGGTCGGCCATGCCGACCATCCCGTCCGGGCTGCAGGCCGAGTTCTCCTTCGGCGCCGGGCGCAGCCATATCTTCGGCTCGGGGCTGAGCTTTGTCGTGTCGGAGATCGACCAGCTGGTGCGTTCCCCCCGGCGTGCGGCGTGCGCCCTGTGCCGCCCGGCAGGGCGTGTGTGTGTGTGTGTGTGTGTGTGTGTGTGTGTGTGTGTGTGTGTGTGTATGTGTGTGTGTGCCCTCCGGTCGAGTGTCCCCCTACTCCCCTTGTCGCTGGGTCTCACCCCCTCCTGGCTGTGTGATTCTCTTTTGTCCCTCCCTCCCCCCCCCTCCCCCCCCTCGGTGTCCGTCTCCCGGCCGCTCGATCGTTCGCTTGGCCCTCGGCCCAAAGGACAAGTATGTGGAGGATGTGCTTCCTCGACTGTCATCGGTGGTGGCCCTCTCGGAGCCGGGGCCGCGGCCGTCGCTGTCCTCCGGCGGGAGCGGGATCGCCACGCCGCCGGCCATGGTCGGGCACTCGAGCAGCTCGTCGGTTGTCCACCCGGGCGGTCTGGGGACCGCCGTCATGGCCACCGCGGCCCCGCCGGTGCGCTCGAGCTCCCTGACTGCCACGGCCGGCGACCCGGGCCCCTTCCTCCGGCCGCTGCTGGCCAGCGGTCCCCCCCCGGCCGACTCCCTCTTCGGGCCGTCTCGAAGCTCGGGCGCCGAGTCGTCCGGCGCCCGGGCCGGGGTCCTGCTGGACCTGACGGAGTTTGATGATCCCTTCGCCACGCACTCGACCTCCGGACTGCTTGCGTCCTCCTCGGCGTCCTCCTCCTCGGCGTCCTCCTCCGGCTTTTCGTCGTCCCTCTCGCCGGCTGTCCTGGCTCCAAGCGGCGGCGGCGGCGGCGGCGGCGGCGGCCCGGCCCCGATGATGGACTCCGGGCAGCTGGACTACTTTGACCCCTTTTCGGCCACCACCCCGGGCCGGAGCTCCGAGGCGTCGGCTCGCTCATCCGAGCACTCGGCCTCCGGGCTGCTGAATCCCCTGGCCGGGATGCCGCTCAACAGCATCCAGGACTTCCGCCGGAAGATGTCCCTGACTGTGCCACCGGCGTCGCTCATTTCCTCGGTCACCATGTCCGACCGGGCCAATGGCCAGCGCTGGTTCCAGAAGGCCTGGGCCGACATCGGATCCACCGTGGTCGCGGTGCGTGTTTGTCGCGTGCCTTCTTGTGTGTGTGTGTGTGTGTGTGTGTGTGTGTGTGTGTGTGTGTTCGGGCTTCCTGGTTCTCCGGCGTCTGTGCTGACGCGCTGGTGTTGTTCCCCTCTTTTGCATGACCACCTTTCTCTCTCTCTCTCTCCCCCCCCCTCTCTCGGTGTGTACTCTTGTCTTCTTCTGTCCCTCCTCCCTTCGAATCACTCTCCTGCTGTGGCCGCCATATGCCGGCCGGATTGCACAGAACCACCACAGCGAGCAGCTCCTCCTGCGCTCGGTCCTCCGAGGGGTCAACTACGCCTGGCTCCTGGCCGAGCTCCTGACGGTACGCGGCATGTCGCTTGCCTGTCCTCGCCTCTTTGCCTTTCTGCCCCCGGTGCCGAGCCCCTTCCCCGGGTCCTCCTCTGCCGACTGGGCCTTGTGTTCGATGTGACCCCCTGTGGTTCTCATGCTGTTTCTCCCTGTGCATGGTGGCCGGGTGGCAGTCGCCGCGGTTTGCGGCAGCCAGCCAGCGCCCCGGTGCCCCTGTGGGCATGCTGAGCCCGGAAAGCCTGGAAGGCTCGGCACTCCACTCGCCGGACCAGCTCTTCGGCACGGGGGACCACACTTCGCCGGGGCTCGGGGCCCCGGGGCGCTACATGTCCGACATGGACCTGCTGTCCGGGTGCCCGGGCATCGCGCATGTGAAAGCGCGCCTGGCCCAGTTGCTGGCTTGCCCGCATGCTCGCGGGGCCTATGGGGTGCCGGTTTTGCGGGGCCTGGCCGGGGGCACGGCCGCCGGCGGGGCCATCCCCGAGACCCATCCCTTCAGCGAGGACCTGGCCCCGGTGCTGGCGTACACGGCGCGCATTTTCTTTTCCGACACATCGCAAGTGCTGCGCTCGGCCGGGGCCGGGGCCGGGCGTGGATCGGCATCCGGCTCAGGGTCCGGGTCCGGGTCCAGTCGGCGAGGTCCGGTGGCCGATCAGCCGGGTGATCGCCTGTCGTCGGGGCCGCCGTCGGGGGGCCATGCCTCGGGGTCGGCCTCGCAGTCGGGCTCCTCGCAGGCGCCAGGCAGCAAGCCCTCGAGTCCGGTGCTGGGCCTCGGGCAGATGCCCGGGGTCGGGGCTGGCGGCTCCGGGCCCGGCCCCGGGCCGGGGTCCGCCTCGACCCCGGACTCCGGCCGGCTGTCGCGCCATGGGTCCCTGAGCAGCCTGGGGTCGCCGCTCATGCGTGCCGGCTCGTTGCTGTCCTTCTCCAGCATCGGCGAGGCGGCCGGGGACCAGCGGCCCGGGCCGGGTCCCGTGGCGTTCACCCCGCCGGTGGCCGGGGACCAGCGGCTCGGGCCGGCGGCCGACTTCGCCGCCCTCGGCCCGGCCGGGTCCACCTTCTCGGCCCTGGGTACCGGGGTGGATGCGGCGCATGTGCGCGACCTCTCGCGCATGCTTTCATCCATCCACAGCCAGACGCACATCAGCGACTTTGAAGATGCGGTGGTGCGTTTGCCCTCCTCCCTTCCTCTTCCAGGCAGGCGTGCTCGCGCGTTTGCACCCCCCCTCCTCCCCCTCCCCCAGTTATGACGGCGATCTTTCCCTGCTTCCTTCTCCCTGTCCCTCCCCATGCACGTGCATTTGCATGCCCATTGACACGCACGCACGCACGCACGCACGCACGCACGCACGCACGCACGCACGCACGCACGCACGCACGCACGCACGCACGCACGCACGCACGCACGCACGCACGCACGCACGCACGCACGCACGCACGCACGCACGCACGCACGCACGCACGCACGCACGCACGCACGCACGCGCGTGCTCGTCAATGTGCGCTCGCGCCGCAGTGCTGCGCCCTGGAGTTCTCCATGCAGCTGGCCGCCCTGGACACGCATCCCCTGTATGGTCGCGAGATTGGGGCCGCCGGTGGCTCCGAAGATGGTAGCCTCCCGGGGGCACATGCCGGTAGCCTGCTCGACCCGATCGGGGCCTGGCAGCAGAGCGCCTTCGATGAGTTGGTCCTGCGGGTGCACTTTCTCTGCCAAGTTGCCAGCCTGATGGCCGCGCGGGATGGCCTGCTGGCCGATCTGGGCAGCGTGGCGCTGGACTCGTTCGCGGAATCCCTCTGCTTCGCGGTTCTGCTTGAGGGCCAGGAGATCGTCACCTTGCGGGTATGTTTGTGTTGACCCCCCCCCCCCCCCTGGCGATCTGGCGATCCCCGCCTCCGAGTCTCTTTCGTTTTTTTCTTAGTCACTCACTGCTCGTTGTCGACGCATGCTGCCGTGTCCGGGCTCCCTCCGATCTCTCTCTCTCTCTCTCTCTCTCTCTTTCTCTCGCCCTGCCCCGCCCCCCTCCCCTTCCAAAAAATGTGCAGCGAAAGCATTGTTTCGTTGGCGAGATCTCCCTCTCCTGTACGCAGTCCCGTGCTCGGAACGCCCTGCTCGCTCTCCCTCCCCTTCTCTTGGACATGTGTCTGAAAAGCGGGAGCTTTGCGCTTCTCCCCATCGGCCACATCTAACCCGGCGTGTTTGCCCCGTTGCCACCGCCGCCGCTCCTCGCCCTTCCCCCTCCTGCCCTCCGCCGGCGGGAATCGCAGTCAACAGCCTGACACACGTGTGCGAGTCGCTCGGGACGAGCCTGGCCCAGATGGATGAGCTCTGCCAGTGTGGCCCGCATGCCTTCCACGACGATAGCAACCGGTCGTGCATCCGCTGTGGGCGGCCCTTCACGCCGGAGCCGACAGTGCGTATTCTGCCAGGCAACTTGGGCCCCGCGTCCGGCGGGCCGGACGCCGGTGCCCCGGGCGCCGGGTCGGCCGCCCCCCGGCCCCAGTCGCTCGTGGGCTTCAGCTTCTCCATGTACGTGGTGTCTCTTCCCGGGACCGGGTCTTCTTTTCCGTGCTGCTCTGTGGTTGATGGAGGTGAAAGAGATGGCGGGCGAGCGGGCGAGCGAGGGGGGCGGGGAGAGGAAGAGCGGGAGGGAGGGAAAGTGTCCTCCTCCCGCGCGGGCCGACGTAGCTGACCCTTTCTCTTTGCCTGCCCTGCGGCGCCGGCGCTGTGTCGCCGCTCGCGCACGCCCCCGGCCGACAGCGACCTCCCGCAGCCGACGTCGCGACTGAAGCTCCTCCTGTCGGACCTCCGGTGCACCGAGACGTCGGCTCCTGGCGGGTCGGTGGCCAACGGGGCGGCCCCCTCCGGGGGGGTGCTTTCGCCGCTGGACGCGGCTCACTCCTGGCTGGATCCGGAGTCCGGGGAGGCCCGCGCGCTCAGCATCGACTTCAGCCGCGGTGTAGCCCGGCCATTTGCCGGGCCCGGGGCCGGGACTCCCAGCAGGGCCGATGCATCTCAGGCGGCCGAGCAGCCCCTGCGCTTTGACCCGTTCGGGGAAAATATCCCCGCCGGGTTGGCCGTTTCGTCGAAAGCCCTTGTGTCCAGCCTGCTGGCCCGGTCGTCGGTGTCGGTGCCTCTGAACATGACCCGGGTGACGGCCAGCGCGGCCGCGGCCGCGGCCGCGGCCTCCACCACCCAAGACAACGACTTCCTGTTCATCTCCAACCCCGGTATGTGACGGCCAGCGTGCCCGGCCTCCCGCCTCTGGGTTCGTTTTTTCCCCATCCTCCTGGTTGCCCTAACTTTCGGCCTCTCCCCGGCTGGGCTTTGCCGTGGTCCCCTTTGGTGGCCGTGTGTCGGTCCTTCGCCAGTCACCCTGCCGGGTGTCATTCGCCTGGCCATTTCCTCGGCCACATTGGATCTGGAGCCCTGTGCGTCGGCCCTGACCGGGAGCTTCCAGTCGCGTCTGTCGCTGGACTTCCCGTTCAGTTCGCACAAGGGCTCGGCGGCGGGTAGCAATACCGGCAGTGGCGGCGGCGGCGGCGTCGGCGTCGGCGGCGTCGGCGGCAGCGGCGGCGGCCCGCCTGGTCCTTGGACTCGGATGGAGTCCGATGTGTCGGTGGAGTTCTGCTGGGATCCGGTGCGCGGCCCATCTGCCCAACGGCGGGGGGGGGGGGTCTTCGCGCGCCACCTCATACACTCGCCCGCGCGAGCCTTGTCACGCCCCTGTCTAATCCACCTACTTGCTGCCTCTTTGCCCCTCCTGGCTCCTGGTCGTGGCTGCACATAGCAATTCTTCCATGCCATGCCGGACTTCCACTCGCGCTTTGAACTGCTGGCGCAGCGATGCATCGTGCACGACCTGGCCTCCTTCGTGCCGAGCCCCGAGGCTCGAAGCCAGGACCCCGGCGTCTTCCAGGACTGCCTGTCGGCCGAGTCGCGGCTGCTGCTCAGGTCCTTCGCCGGCTTCTATGGGCTGCGGCCGATCTACTGTGACATTGTGTGCGTGCTCGGCCGGCCGTCAGGATGCACGGCTGTGCGCATGGCCCCCCCCCCCCCCCCCCCTCGCTCGCCCGCTCGCCACTTCCCCTGTCTGACGCACCTTCCTTCACCCGGACGGTGCCCCATGGATGTGGGACTGCCCCTGCTTGGTTGGCCGTGCTGTCGTCGGTTGCTCCCGCTGTCGTGTCTTCTGCGGATGCCCCCCCCCCCCCTTTTTTCCTTTGGAATTCCCTTCTTCCTCCCTTTTCCATCCCCCCCCCCCCCTCCCCCCCGACCCTCGCTTGCGCCTCGCCCGGCCGGCCCCTTCTCGCGGTCCCTGCTAGCGAGCTGTATGTCCTGGTGGACCTCTTCCTCATGGCCATCACCCCCGAGAGCAGCCCCGCCTCCTCGCAGCTGATCTCCGATGGGCTGGTGGCCAGCATCCTCATCCTGCAGCAGGCGTCCTTCGTGATGGACAAGCTGCTGCAGCAGTTCCGCTCGACCGAGGCCCTGAGCGGGGCCCTGCTGGACAGCTTCTGTTCGTCGGCGGCCCAGTCCATCCTGTGCCACATCGAGCAGACCACCTTGGAGGCGTCGCTGCGGACCCTGCACTCGCTGATGGTGGACCGGCTGTCGCGGTACTCGGAGCTGTTCCCGGTGCGGCCGTCGTACTCGGAGCAATTGCCCTTCGACACGGCGCGGCCCTTCTACCATGCGATGCAGCTGTATTTGCAGACCCTGCGCTTGACATTGGCCCTGCAGAACATCATCACCCCGGAGGTGGGGTTCTCCTTCCGGGAAATTGTCCACACCTGCATCCGGCAGAATGCCAAGCGGGTGTTCAGCTTCATCACGAATGAGCTCGGGCCGGCCGAGGGCCCGGGCGCAAGTGGGGCCGGGGGCGCCAGCGCGTCGGACCCCGGCGCCGGCGCCGGCGCCGGCCCGGGCATCGTCCGTGCCACCTCCACCTCCTCGCTGTTGCCCTTCTCCTCGTGGTACTCCTCGAGCGGCGGGCTGGCTGGGATGTTCTCGGTGTCGCGACTGGGCCGGCCCTTCCAGGCGCTGGACGGCCTGGCGGGCGGGGCATCGGGCGCCGGCGCCGGCGGTGGTGGTAGTTTCGCCGGGGGAGCTGGTGCGCTGGGCCCGGGCGCCGGTGGCGGTGGCCCATCGGCCGATGGGCTTCTTCTGCCCCCGGCTGCCGCGGGCTCTGGCGCCGGGCACCTGCTCAGTAGTGAGGACATTTGCACCAACTTCTCCGAGCTGCTGCTCTACCATGCGCTGGAGCCGGAGCGCATCCAGTATGGCCCGAATGTCTTCTCCAAGTTCGACGTGTACGTGCGGGTCTTGGCCCTTGCCGGGTGCCCGAGGACGTGCTACCTGAGGATGCTGCCATTGCGTGCACCTGACTGCCCTTTTGTTGCATTTCCCCCCCTCCCCCCCCGTCCTACTGACCCACGCTCTCTCTCCCTCCCTCCCTCTCTCTCCCTCCCTCCCTCTCTCTCCCTCCCTCCCTCTCCCTCCCTCCCCTCTCCTCCCTCCTCCCCCTCCGCGCCGTCTTCTTTTTCCTTCCCTCTCTCTGCCTTCCTCTCTCTCCCTCTCTCTCTCTCATCGCTTCGCTATTCGATTATGGCTATGATCTTGTGTTGGCTCCTGGCTCTGGTTTCGCTCTTGCTCTTGTTTCTGGTCTCGCTGCCACCCCTCTCCCCCCTCCCCCCTCCTCCTCCTCCCCCCTCTCCCAGTGACTCGGTGTCGGTGGCGGCCTGCCTGCACTTCGAGCTGGCCACCAACCTCCTGTCGAAGATTTTCCTCGACGCACATCACGCCCTCACCCGGGGCCACATTTTGTCGGACTGCGAGCGCATCATCTCCGAGCACATGGACCGGTCGCTGCGAGCCGGGGCCTTTTCGCTGGCCATGCGGGCCGGTGTCGGGACTGGCCCCGGCAGCCGGTCCGGCCCCAATGGGCGGTTCTTCTCGGGCCCCGGGGCCGGGCGTCTTGCCCCGCGCCCCGGGCCCGGGCCCGGGTCCCGGACGTCGGACTTCCCGAACAACGAGCACTTCCTCAACCGCTTCAAGTCCTACTTCGTCCTTCAAAAGATCAACTCCATCTACAACTCGTTCCTGCTGGAGTCTCCCAAGCATCTTCCTCACAATTCCCCGTACGTCAAGTGGCCCGGGCCGCGGGGGCTGCAGGGGCCCGAGCACTCCCTGTGTCTTCTGGCCCCGTGTCCCTCGGCCTTCCCGGGGGCTGGCTTCCTGCTGCTTTGGCCTTCGCGCGGGCCACGGCCCCATGCTGACCCTCCGCCAGCAGGCTTCCCGAGGCCTTCCCCATTGATCAGTGGTTCTCGCCGCTGGTGGTCATCTGGCTGACGCACTACCTTCAGCCGACCCTGCGGCGGGGGTTCGTCATCCCGGAGGACTCGTGGTTTGATACGAGCCGCGCCGCCTCCGGGTCATCGTCGTCGTCGTCCTCCTCCTCCGGCTCCTCCTCCTCCTCCGGCTCCTCCTCGTCGTCTTCCGGTGGCGGCAGCCGGTCCGGCGGGTCCGGGGGGGCTGGCGGATCCGGCGGGTCCGGGGGGGCTGGCTCTGGCGGCTCGTCGGCCTTCGGCACCTCGCCTGCCCGTTCGCTGCATGCCATGACTTTGTCGGACATTTTCTGCTGCATCTCCAAGGTACGTCCGGCTGGGCCGGGGCACCCCTGTTGCTCCGGGGCGCCGCCCGCATGTGCTGTGCCTTCGCCTCGATGTCTCGCATGGGTGTACTGATGCTCTTTTGGCTTCCCTTTCGACCGGGGGCTCATGGCGGCCGGGCGGGGGGGGGGGCGCGGGGGCGGGTCCATGGGTAGGTGCACAACTTCCTAATGCGCTTCTCCTGGTCGAACACGCATGCCCTGACCACCGTGCTGGGGTGCTTTGTTTCGGTACGTGACCTTGCCCTTCGGATGGGGCTTTTCCTTCGGCCTGCTCCCTGCATGGTGCTTGGCATGGGGGTGCTCCTGTGACTGACGGGATGTAGATTGTGTGCGAGCACTCGCGGGAGTTCGGCTCTTCGGCGCAGGTCCTGTCGTTCCAGTACCTGACGGCTGATGCGCTGGAGGCGGCCGCCCGCGACCAGGCCACTTCGGCCGTCGCCTCGCCCGATGCCAACTTCTTCTCGGCCTCCTATTCGGGCTTGTGGAAGAAGAGTTCCAGCTCGGCCGGCGACATCCGCCTTGGTGTGCCGCGGATTGTACGTCCCTCTTTTTGTTCTCAATTTTGTGTCCTTGTGTGTGTGTGCGCGCGCGTGTGTGCGCGTGTGTGTGCGTGTGTGCGCGTGTGTGTGCGTGTGTACATGTGTGTACATGTATACTTATATGCATGCGTAAATGTGTGCATGCGTGTGTACATGTGTGCATGCGTGTGTACATGCGTACATGTGTACATGTGTGCGTGTATGTGTATGCGCATGTGGCCTCACGTCCGTGGATGTATGGGTGCATGCACAGGCCCATGCCTCTGGGTTTGAGTCATTCCGCCGAGGCAACGCCGCGTGTACAGGTGCCTCACAGCATGGTACATGGTCTTGCGTCGTGCTTCTTGGCATGTCCACTCATCTTTGCACGTGTATACCGGCACACAAGCACAAGCAAACACACACACACACACACACACATACAGACGCGTGCACACGCATACAGATGCACGCACATTAATGCGCCAATCGGGCGGATTGGTATTTGTTCCGGTGCCCCTGGCGCCTGCTTGCTTTCTCACCCGAGCCGCTCTCCCTCGACGTGGCCAGTACTTCATCATCATGAACACCCTCGAGCGGCTGGTAGCCTACCTGACCCACCTCCGGCGCTTGACCATGGAGGACCTGCACCGGTATGAGCGATCGCACCCGACGCCGAGCGGCCCGGTTGGCGGCGCGCTGCATGACTTCCAGACCCTGGTGGCCCCGATCGAGCAGCACTTCGACACGGCCATCTTGGCCCTGAATCAGATGCTGCTGGCCATGGCCGGGCGCCTGGTGGAGGCCCTCTGCCAGGGGATCAGCCCGACCTGCTACGAGTACTTGCAATTGGTGGCGCCGTCGTCGCTGCTGCTGACCGTGGACCAGCCGGCAGTCGGGACCATGGACCCCGGAGCTGGGGGCATGCCCGGCGGCGGCGGCGGCGGCGGCGGCGGCGGCGGCGGCGGCGGCGGCGGCGGCGGCGGCCCGGACGCCAGCACCGCCTCGCTGGCCTTGGGCGGGGTGTCCGGCGGCCTGGGCGCCGCGGCGTCCTACCTGCTGGGCGGGGCCGGGCTGGGGACCTCCTCGACACGGATCCAATCGACGCCGTTCCTGGCGCCGCGGCTCTTCGGCCTGGTGGGGTCGCTCTACTTGGACCCGTCTTTCATTGTGACCGAGACGTCGCCCTACCGGCTGGGGACCCTGTTGGGGTTCGGCTCGCGCGGGGCCCAGACCCTCGGGGTGCTGGACTCCGGCATAACCAAGCTCCCGCAGAAGATGACCGAGCTGGAGCTGATGCGCCTTGTGGCCCGGGCCATGGAATTCACGGTGGTACCCTTCGTGGTGGCCTTCTGTGCGGCGGTGTCGCCGCATTGCTACGACAGGTACACGCATGCTGGTAGCGGGGGGAGGGGGGGGGGGGGGGGAAGGGACGGCGGCTGTTTGCCTCGCCGCCACTTGTCTGGTCTCTCCTCCTGCTGGCAGCTGACCCGCCTTCCCCTTTTGCCCCGGAGCACAGTGTCTTCCGGAAGGTCTATTCGGCGCTCTTTTCCCACATTTGCCGGCTGACCACCGGGGTGCTGGAAGCCGGGGCCAGTAACTTGCGCTTTGCCACGGCCATCGCCAGCCACCGCACCCCGCTGGAGCTTCTGATCGATGTGCGTGCTTTGTTCTTTCGTCGCTCTTCGTCTTTCGCTTGCCTGCCTGCCTGTCGGTCGGCCGACCGGCCGGGCTAGACCCACCCACCCGCCCATGCGGACGAGCATCTGCTGGCATTTCTGCTTGTTGGCTGACATGCTGCCTGTTTGCGCGTACGCCGGCCCAGCTTCTGGGGAACCTCTTCTTCAATGACACGATCACCGGCGATCAAACCATGTTCGATCTTCACTCCAACCTTCGGGCCACCATTACTGCCTATAATTTCATCAAGTAGCCCCCGGTGACGCTTGTGGCTGCCCTGCTGCCGGCGCCCGGGAGGAAGATACCCATGCCCAAGGCGGTGCCAACACGCGCGTGACATTGTCCCCTTGCTTCTTTGTTCTCCTCACTGTCCTTGTGTGTGTGTGTGTGTGTGTGTGTGTGTGTGTGTGTGTGTGTGTGTGTGTGTGTGTGTGTGTGTGTGTGTGCGTGTGTACATGTGTGTACATGTATGTACATGTGTGTACATGTGTACATGTGTGTACATGTGTGTACATGCGTACATGTGTACATGCGTACATGCGTACATGTGTACTTATATACATGCGTACATGTGTACTTATATACATGTGTACATGTGTACATGCGTACATGTGTACTTATATACATGCGTACATGTGTGCGTGCGTGCGTATGTGTGTATGTGTACTTGTGTGCAGGGACGCGCAACTGTATTCATGTGCTTGTGTATACATGGGTGTGGGCGCGAATGCCCCGCGCCGGTGTGCGGGCGTGCTCCGGTCTGGGCTGGCAGCAAGGTCTATGTGAAGAGAGTGGGCAGGCGCGGCGGGCTCCGGCAGGGCAAGGCCCAGTCAATCAGAGGAAGAGGCTCCGGGCCCGGTCGATGAGACGCGCCGCTGAGGAGGGGGTGCAAACCGGGCCCGGCGGCCCGGCGGCCAGGGGCCGGGCCCAGGGCTCGGAGGGCTGGGCGAATGTCCCGGCGACCTCGCCTGCCGGGGCAGACGGTGCGCACCGCGCGCGCTTCGGATCCGGGTGCTCGGGCCCGTGGGAGGGCCGCGCGCGGGTCGACGGGCCGGCCCGGGGCCTGGGGCCCGAGGCCGCATACAAGCGCCGAACGGCATCGCGCACATCGGCCAGCATGGGCCCCAGGGCCGGGTGTGTGAGGAACATGTGGGCCAGATTGTTGAGCAGGCACTTTTCCGCATCCCCAGCCGCGAGGGGGCCATGGACGTCCGGCGACCGGAGGGCAATGTCCCCAAGGGCCGTGTACTCCAGCAGGAGATACATGTACTGCAGGAAGGGGAAGACGGCTCCGGCGGCCGCGGCGTCGGTCAGCAGGCGCTGGCAGGCTGCCCGGGCGGGGAGCGCCTCGCGCCGGAGCCGATCCGCCGCGCCCCGGCCGGTAGTCAGCATGTCGGCCGCCAGCAGCGACTTGGTCCCCAGGCGGAGGACCTCCACTTGGTGGGACAGGAGCACCGTGGCGTTGATCGTGCAGCTGGCAGGCCACGCGGCCAAGGGGGGGGGGGGGGGGGGGGGGGGGGGGGGGGGGGGGGGGGGGGGGGGGGGGGGGGGGGGGGGGGGGGGGGCAGACATGTCAGTGTGAGGGTCCGGCGGCAGGGGCGCCGAGGGGGGTACGCATGTGCGCGTGTGCGCGTGTGCGCGTGGCGCACCGTTGGATCGAGGCGGTGCGCTCCAGCAGCAGGGTGGCCGAGATCGGACTCTCCCGGCTGTCAAAGACCTCGCCGGGCCCGTCAAAGTACAAAAACGGGAGGATGGACTCGGCGTCGCCGCGCAACAGCGACCTGGCCTCCGGCGACAGGAGGTGGTCCTGCGGTTCCGGGCGCGCAGATGGAGGTCGGGGGGGGGGGGGGAGGGGGGCAAGGCGCCCAGGTACGGGGGCTGGGGGGTCAGCAGGCGGGAGGGCAGGTGCGCCCGTACCTCGAATGCCAGGGCGCGCAGGGTGCTCCGCAGCAGGCGAACCATGCGGATGAGAACCGCACGGCCGAGATCTACACGGAGCCGGGCGTG